TGCTGGGGGTGAGCTGGAGTTGGGTGAGATGATCTCCAGAGGTCCCTTCCAGCCCCACCCTGCTGGACTCTGGATTAAGACCCCAGCTCCAAGCAGGGATCTCTGCCCCCAGCTGACAGAGGCAGCAGGAACCTGCTCTCAGCTCCATGATGTGTATTTTATAGACATGGGATGTTCAAACTCCCTCATCAACCCAACAATAAACCTCCAGTTAAACCCATCAGGGAAGCTCAAGCTCATTTGTGATGCATTAACACTCACTTCCTCCTGCCTCCTCCACCTTTTACTGGGAAGGTGCAAATTTACCCTGGCCATCAAATTAATCTTTATCCATTTCAAAGAAAGACCATTAAGGGGAATCATCATTGCTACAAATCTGAACAAAACACACCAAGTATTTGCCATTGGCAGCCAGGACTGTTTGCTTACTGATGCTCCTGGTCAAAAATGAGCTTTCCCTCCAGGCTGGAACACATAATTCACCCTGCACATCATGAAAACCAATTAACTCTAACATCATAGTGCTGGAAAACACTCGTGGTGCCAGGGAGGGATAAAGAACTCCAAAGTCCCTCGTGTGTTTTGTTAAACATGGAATTTCTGACCTCATGGTGGCCAAATCTTCTCTTTGAGGCGTTTTATTGCCAGGATATTTTTTTTTTAGAGAAGCTTACAGGCACTGCTGCCAACGTCACCCAAAGCAACAGGGACCACTCTCATGAGCCACCTGCTGACCTCGTGTCCCAGAGCACGGGGACACTGCTCCATGGTGCTTTGGTGAACACACTTCTGTCCTCCAGGCACGGCCAGAAGGCAGAGGATGGTGAAGGTGACACCCTGTAGCTATCTTGTGCTTTGCTCAGAGCCTCCCCCTCTCTTCTCTGCACCTTTTTGGAGAGGGGCCACGTCCACAGGCCTTATGGCAAAGACACAGGGTGCCTACATCTGTCACAAAACCCCCTCAGAACCTGATTTTCTCATGCCCATCACTGGCAGGGAGCTCTGAAAACAGCAGCTGGACAGAACAGAGCGTGGCAGGAAGAGGGGCACAACTGTGGGCACCTCAGCTCCCTTCTAACCTGGTGTCACTGACAGAAAAACTCCTGAGGTTGCTTCACCTGCCACAAAAGGCAGGACTGGGCAACAGGGAAGGGGAAGAGACGTATGGGAAGAGACAAGACCCATTATCTCCAGCTCCCATCATAAACCCCCTCCCAGTTCTTCAGCACATACACATTAGCAGTGTCGATCTAAGCCCATTCCCCCATAAACGTGTCACACCACCTGTGCCCCTGCAGCAGAGCAGCCACGCAGCCTTCAGGAGCCTTTAACGCCCGTCCAAAATCTCAGCACAAATCCCAAAGCTCTTAAACCCCCCCCAACCCCAGGAAGAAGCAATTAACATGGAGCAATTAACACTGGGCAAACATTAATCACCCGCGGAACGAGCCGCTGCCCAGCGGAGCGGACGGGGCGGGTGGATAAAGGATGGATTTGGGCACAGCTCCTCACCTGGGTCTCCTGGATCCCTCCTGCCCACCTCCCAGGATGAAGGGCACGGCGTTGGCCTTCCTGGCTCTCCTGGTGGTGGCAGGGGAAGGGAGAGGGGATGGGAACACGGTGAAGCTCTGCGGGAGGGACTTCGTCCGAGCCGTCGTCTTCACCTGCGGCGGCTCTCGGTGGAAGAGGCATTGGCTGGATTCTCCCTACCTGCTGGGTGAGTACTAATTAACACTCATTAACACACCGCACAGCCGGATTCCCTGCCTCCTGGGGGATGTGGGAGAAGCAGATCCCCTGCCTGCTGTACCTCTGGGCAGAGCTGTGCAGCTTGTTTAGTTAGCGTGCTAAATAAAAGCCATTTAGAGCAAAATCTGCCACATCAGCCACGAGCAAAGGCCACAGTGCCACCAAAAATCTCTCCTTTAAATGCCACAATCAAGCTTTGCTGTCATCAAGGCAAGTTTTGCACTCTTTTCGTCAGCAGGACACAGTGCCCTCCCCACTAGGAACCAGAAACTCAAGTATAACATTTATATTCAGCTTATTTTTATTACATGCTCTACAATTTCAGTAGCTTCACAAGGTGTTCTTTCTCTTTAGAAGCACATCTTTAAGCCAGAAAATTCCACCACTACACTCACTCCTGTTAGGAATTTGTACTCTGACATCCAGGATTTTGGAAATTCTGGGGTGTCTGATGCCTTAATGCAGCCCCTGCATCTCAGGAACCCCCACGAGCAGCCCCAGAGGGGGTTCCAGGCTGTGGAGATGGGGTGCTGGGGGACACGAGGCAGTGCCAGAGTTAAGTTAATGGTTGGATTTGATGATCTTGAAGGTCTCTTCCAACCAAAGTGATTCTGTGATTGTTCTGTAATTAACATGCTGGTCAAGGGCCACTTCATCAACCCACAGTTTTACCCTTGCAGTCAGTGTAAGACAACTGTGCCTACAAAGAGCAATCCTGAGGCTAAAACCAGAATTTAGTGGTTTTTTTAACATGCTGATCCCTGAATGTGGACGTAGTGCACCTATAAAGCTCTGGTTGAGAGCTCAGTGCTCAGGTACCAGAAGAACCTCCTGGTGGTTGACATCCCAGAGGATCATCCCCTCCACAACCTGCCTGTTGGCTGCACTTCCTAGATAAATATAAACCACACGACTCCCTGAGCTCTAGACTTTGACCTTGCAATTTGTTTTTGGGACAGAAAAGGACCATCCCCTGCCTTCCTCACCAGAGGACCACGGTTCCACCAGCTCCCGGGCGGACGCAGAGCAGAGGTTGGAGGCTGACAGCAAAGAAATCCCCCCCGGGATGGAGCAAGACTTGCAGGGTGCCAGGAAAAGCTCTGGGCTAGGAAAACGTGAGGCAGCCAAGCTGCTGACCACCTCCTGCTGCAGCGTGGGCTGCAGCAAGAGAGAGATCAGCTCCCTCTGCTGACCCAGCAGTGCAGGGGGAGGTTCCACGTCCCTCTATTAAAACCATTGTGACCTAAAGCTGTGTGGCTGGTGGTGATATCAACCAGAGGGGATGAATGGGTCTGAAAGCAGGGTGGGGTAAGCAGAAAATGAGAATAAAACCAAGCACAGAGAGCTCTGTGCAGCACCTCATGGGTCAGACCCCCCCCCCAGACCTGTGGTCAGTCAGCCCTGGCCATGATTTCTTTCCTATCTCAGCTGCTTCCAGTGACATGTACCCAGGGATGTCCTACCCAGGGGACAGTTTGCTTGCACCCAGGGAGACTTCAACAGAACTTCAACAGAAGGGTGCAGACAAGCTAGATCTGCATAGCCACAACAGGATAGAATTTGAAGGCAAGTTGGGCCAGCAGGAGCAGGGCAGAGATCATCCCCCTGCACTTGGCACTGGGGAGGCTGCCCCTCAAATGTGGGGTTCAGTTTTGGATCCTTCACTCCCAGCAGGACCTTGAGGGGCTGGAGCGTGGCCAGAGAAGGGCAACGGAGCTGCTGGGGAAGGGTCTAGAGCCCAAGTGTGGGGAGGAGCAGCTGAGGGAGCTGGGGGTGCTGAGCCTGGAGCAAAGGAGGCTCAGGGGAGACCTTCTGGCTCTGCACAGCTCCTGACAGGAGCCTGGGCAGGGTCACCCGCAGCACGGAGCTGCCCCAGCTCCCAGGACACAGCCCCTGCAGGTCCCAGTTCACAGGAAGAGTTATAAAATGCTTTTCATTTACTTTCCAAAAAAATCTCTCTGTGGTTTCTACATGAGGATCACGTAGTTCAAGGCAAACTCAGCTGAGAATGGGGATCAGGCAAAGGAGGAGACCCAAGGGTTGAAATGAAAAGAAATTTGGTGAAACAGCCCAACTAACATTAATATTTATGTCACTATGAAGGGTACAGAGTTATACTCAGCCCAGTGAATGGGCAGCACTCCCAATAAACAGGGGAGCATCCTCAGGAGCAGAGTGATGAGCAAGACCCTCTAGGGATGGTGACCCTCAAGAAGAAGGAGCCCCACCCCACCCCATCAGCAAACTTCCCCTTTATAGTGAGCATGAAGTTTATGGGCTGGGACACCCCTGGAGCCAGCTCAGGTCAGGTGCCCTGGGTTTTACCCCTCCCAGCTTCAGCTCCTGGAGGACTCCAAACTGCTGTCAGACCACGGCTGGGCTGGGATTCCAGCTCAGCAAAACCAGGGCAGAACCTTCAGAACAAGTGGAAGCTGCCTTGATCCTTCACACACATTTCCATCAACAGGAGGAGGAAGAGTTAGGCCAAAGGCTCATTTTTCCTGCTGTTGGACTCAACTATTCAAAACAGGCAGCACAGACATTGGCAGGAACAAAGAGTGAAGCCTTCTTGAACACAATATGATGTCCAAAACCTGTTGAGACACAAGTGGTGAGCTCTCTTTGGAGGGGCTGCTCAGGGGCTTGGTGTCCTGGAGCAGCCAAGTCAACCATTGCACCGTAGAGCCCTTGCATTGGAGCCCCAGCATTTGAAGCACCTCCTGCAAACTCCTCCAGATGTTAAGGAAGGAGTTATTGGATGTGGATACCACATTCTCCTCCACAGACGTTCACGGTTACCTGCGGATTATGGGGGGGAAAGAAGAACATCAGCATTTGGCCAGAGCCACCATTGCTCCAACCAACCTCATCAAAGACTCCTGTAAGCCTGCACCCACCTCAGAGCAGCCCTTGGTGCATCTTGATGGCCTCCTCCAGCATTTCTTTCATGTATTTTGGGGGTCTCCTCGCCCCACCAGCCGCCTCCCCACGGAGGTGTGAGGAGAAACCAGCAGCCCCAGGTGCCCGTGGCTGCCATGGGGTCACACAGCCCTCACAAGTCCCCGTGGCCCCTGTGGGTCCTCAGGGTCCCCACAGGTCCCCACCTGTCCCCACGGCTCCCTATAGCACCCATGGGTCCTCCTGACTCCTGCTTGTGCCTGCAGCCCCCAGTGTCCCTGTGACCAGTGTCCCTGTGACCTCCACTGGTGCCCTGATCTCCCTACAGCCCACACAAGTCCTCAAGGCACCTGTGGGTCTTCAAGGACTTTCTACCCTTCTACAGCCCCCATGAGTCCCACTGACCTCTCTTTGTGTCCCCATGGCCTCCACTTGGTCCCTATGTGTCCCTACAGCCCCCCCAGTCCCTGTGGATCCCCACAGATCCCAACATGTCCCTACAGCCCCCGTGTGTCCCCATGGCCTCCCAGGTCCCTGTGGGTCCCTACAGCCCCCACAGGTTTTTGTAGCCCCCAGGGGTTTTCTCAGCCCCCTCCTGTGCCTGTAGCCACCATGTGTCCCTGGGGGCTCCTCAAATTTCCTTATAGCCCACACAGTATCTCTGTGGCCTCCCATGGAGTCCCCACGTGCCCCCGTAGCCCCCATGGGTCCCTACAGCCCCAACACACCTCCACGTGTCCCTTCAAGCCTCCCCAGTCAGGGTCCCTCCTGTTCCCACAGCCCCCACCCATCCCCTCAAGCTCCATCTGTCCCCAAGGTCCCTGTGGCTCCCCACGTGTCCCCACAAGCCAACCATGACCCATCTCCAGGTCTGGAAGCCACACACAGCTCCAGCAGCAACAACATTTGGGGCTAGTGGTAGCCCCTGATACCTCTGAGCAGCTCTTCTGGGTGCTCCTGGACGTGCCAAGCTCACGTGCCAAGCCAAGCTCACTCAGGAAAAGCAGTTTTTACAGGGTTTTTTTGTTTATTTTCAAGGAAAAGGAAAAAAAATAATCACATTTCCATGGCAACTCAATGTTTTTTTTTTTTTAACGTGGTCCCTATGGAGAGAATGAATCAACTTTGTTCTGAGGTGGGGATTTCTTGGTTGCAACGTGGGGAAGAATTGCATATTCAAGATTGGGTGAAATGGGTGATGGGAGAGGGGAGAATGCAGGAGAGACATTTATAAAAAAAACCATTATTTACAAAAAAAAAAATGATATCCACAGAAGTCATTGTCTAACCTATAAGGCAAGTAACATTTAAAAGAGGTCGTTTCATGATTATCTTCAACAAGTCAATACAACACATTCATATTACCAGTGGTCAAAGACAAAGCTTGGCTGCCGTCGTCTGTGGGCAACAAACCCTTTGTACAGTTTCTTTGTTCCTCTGAGGACAGGAGGTAAGCAGCAAAGTTTTCATCACAGACTAAGCAGGACCTAGGCCATCGTAGACGAAAGGTATAATACATCTCATTGCACGTTGAGGCAAAAAAGGCCAGCCATTCATTAACTTAAATCTTAAAAATAGACCTGTGTCTCTTCATCCACAAATATTTATAAACATTTTTTTTATACACGAGGGAGTTCATAAAATGATACAGGGGAAGGACAGTTCTCTGCTTGGGGTTTCCTCTGGGTTCAGAGGCGGCGTGGTCAAGTTCTCCTGGGCTCTGTGGACCTCAGTGCTGGAGCTTCAAACCTCAACCTGACCCAATTCTCCTCTCAGATCACGACTAATCTCTCCGTACCGTGGTGATTTCACCCACCTTGGAGCATTTTAGGGTGGAAAACCCCTCCTGCATGGCTCACAAACCCAACAGCAGGATGGTGGCTGCTCATCCTCTGCCCAGGAAGAGAGATTTCTAACAGAGGAATGAGAGATTCTGGACGCCCTGCTAAAACCTGCTGTGTTTTGTCACGTCCTGCTTGGCCTGTGGCAAAGTCCTGCCCCTGTGCAAGCTTTTGGAGAGCTTCCCCACGCTAATGCTGGTGATTTTAAGGACAATTCTCAGCATCAGCATCTGCAGTCCCTCCTGAAGTGACAGGGGAAATCATGCAGGAGATGGGGGGAGATATTTTTGCAGGTCTTTTTCTAGCCTTGCAGTGAAATAAATATTAAAATACTGACAAAGATAAAAAAATTCTAGAATTAATTTCCTTGGGAAACTGTGAGAAAGAGCAGAAAAAGAAGAATTCTGGCTGTGGAGTGGAATCTTGGAGTCAGTAATTTCTCAACCAGGAAAGGACAATGGGATGATGTTATTTTGGTCACAGTGAGCTTCAAAATTAGGGTTTTTTTTTTAACCAAGACATTTTCACAGAAAACCAACAAAAGGGTAAGGAAAAAAAAGAATCACTCTGTATTCAGTGTATTGAAGTGGCTTTCTCAAGAAGATGTTGTGTTTGAGGAGTAGATCCTAAGGTGAAATGGAGCAAGATTCCCCTGGACACTTCACCCCGTGGGCACAGGAGCCACATTGAGAGGTCCCAGGAGGGCTGAATGTTTTTTACTAAAAGATGTTTGACTTTCTCTTAGCTGATTTTAAAAAAATATGACACCTTCTCATCACAATCCAGCCTTTGCAAAAAGCTTCTCCTGCAAGGAAGTGGAGTGGTGCCTCTGGACGTGATGCTCGTGGTGTGGTTGGACAGTGGCAGAACCTGCTCTCCCTTCCCCACTCTGGCTGGGAGTGCAATGGACAGTGGAATTGCAGCAAAAATGCAGCTTTACACCAGGGGAGTGAGCTTCCATCCACCAATGCCAACTTATTTGGTAGCATTTCATACTCTTGAGCCATAAAGAAATGCTGCTGAAGTAGAAAATTGGTCTGAAAAGGCTCCTGTGAGGAGCACCCGAAGCTGGCTGAGAATCCTGAATATTTGCAACCCGTGGAAAAGCTGCAAAAAAAAAAACCCCAAGACTTCCTGCTGCTGATATCTAAAGACCCAAATCTTCAGGTGGCTGGGAGGGAAAAAAGCTCCTGCTCCACCAGCAGGCCCTGTGCCCCTGCAGCCTTGGCTCCTGTGGCTACCAGGGACCCCAAAGGACAACCCCTCAGGGCAGAGGACATGGGCTGAAGGGAGAAGTCCATGCAGGCAACCAAGCTAAAACCTTCCTGTGCATGCATCACCCCCTGTTTATTATCTGAATGCCTCTTTTATGCATCTTTATTTCACTCAGATAGGTCTGAGTGCTGCTGGGTTAAGGGGTGCCAGCGCTGGGCAATGCTGGGGGGCTGAGCCC